GCTTTTTAGGTCTTTAAGATCTGACATTGGGGAAGACAATAACTACCATAGTGTCTCTTATTCTCTTCATAGTAGGTGTCCTTATCTTTACTTATGCTGAAATTGAACTTAAGAGACTAGACTAATATCACTCTGAACAGTGAATAATAGTATTGCTAGATTTTATATCACAATGCTACAGAATTAGCATTGGGTTTCGTAGTGTCTCTTCTTCAGAGTATCTGTTCATTACATCTTGCATTATATAATCTGTTGCTGTAAATAGTTTAAAAAATTCTCCCCATGTGTGAATTTCTACATGTATATCTATCTTCTCTGTATTATAGGGAAAAACAAATCATAACAAGACAACGAAATAGATTCTTAGAAAAACTTGCAATGAAAAAGACACATAAGACCACAATATTAGGTGATCTACCGTAGTTACTATGCTTTCTCCTGTTATTTTCAATAGACTTGTCCACATCATCAGGCTTAATATAGTTAAGCATAGTATTACATACTTATTTTTATAAAGGTGCAACTTTGAAAACATTGTAGGACTTGAGAGCAGTTAATAATCAAAACTGGTATGGATATCTTTTACATCTTGTCATCTTCAGAGTAGTTGCCTCTACTTTTAGGGTTGATACTATCAAGCATACCAAATTCAAATAAAATCAGCCAAGGCAAAATCGTGGTCTAACGAATGGGATTCAAATAAGATCAGTCATAGTAAGACTATAGTAAGTCATAGTAAGACTACTTAGTAATACAGGGTTTCAGTTTAAGTTAATAGGAATTAAGGATAGTTACCATGGTATAACCTGGTATTTTTGGGTCAGATGTCTGGGCCCTCAAAATCTGATATGAGTGGACAGACCGGAACAAATTAAATTCAAACTAAACAGAGCAATAAGACTACTGTGACTTTTAAATCCTGATATACTATTAACAGTGACCTCTGCCTTTTTTTATATAGTGTATCAAAGCTATCTATACTAACGATTATAGCTTACCGTCTCTGCCTCATGTCTGCTACTCCACTTTACTGCTATAATTTGTCCACCTTACTCCCTCATTCCATTGTCTGCCCCATTCATTGAGGCCTCCCTGCCACTGTTGCTGGAATCCTGGTATCCCTTCCTCTCTCTCTCTCTCTGGAATGTCCTTCTGCACTCTCTGTAGGGTTGGGTTGGTGGCCATGAACTCCCACAGTTCCTCCTTGTCTTGGAAACATCTTATTTCTCCATTAATTTTGAGAGAGAGTTTTTCTGGGTAGATCAGTCTTGATTGCAAATTATTTTCTTTCAGGGCTTGGAATATTTCCTCCCATTCCCTTCTCGATTTGAGAGTTTGTGTTGATAAGTCTGTTGTTATTTTGATAATTTTCCCATTATAGGTTATCTACTTCTTTTCCCTGGCTGCTTTTAGTATTCTGTTCTTTTAGTGGATTTCTGAAATCTTGATTATTATATGTCTGGGTGTAGATCTGTTTTGGTTGTAGGTAGCTGGAGTTCTGTATGCCTGATTTATCTGGATATCATTTCTTTTTCCTATGCTTGGAAAGTTTTCCTTTAATATATTTGTGAATATTCTTTGTATTTCATTTTTGGTTACTTCTGCTTCCTTGCTCACATGCTTTATTCTTAAGTTATGTATCCTTTTGTCATCTTCTAGCCTTTGAATTGTTTCTTTCTGGCTCCTAATTATTTTTAAGAGGTCTTTTCTTTCATGATCATATATCATAAATCTCTCTTCAAGTTTCAAAAGGCTAACTTGAGTTTCTGTCAAGGCATTTTGCCAGTGTTCAATGGGTTTTTAGTTTCCTGGTAATCTCTTTGGATCTGTTTCATGTATTCTAATTATGTTTAAATTCTTCTTCAGAAGTTTCTCTTTCTTTTCTGATTTCCTCCATTTTTCCATCTGTGTTCTCTTGGGAGGGGCTTATCATTTCTTTAATTAATCTTTTTATATCTTGCCTCACTTGGATCAGAAGTACAGTTTTAAATTCGTCTATGAGGTCATGAAGGTATTTCTTTATTTCGGCTGATGCTGTATCTAGTATTGGATGGTTACTGTGCTTGTTCTCTTTTGTGTTTACTTCTCCTGGGCTTATTTTCTCATGTTGGGCAGCTGGAGATTTTTTTTATTTCTATCTCTTGTCATGTTTCTGGTTTCTTTCAGACTGGAGTGTCATGGGGGTCTCTGGCCCTCTCCGTATTGCCTAGGGCCCCTCCGAAGCATATTGACTAGAGTTTTTGCTGCCCTCCCCAATTTGCTATTATCTGAGGTAGGCAAGGATGCAGGGACAGTGCAGGCTAGCCTGCAGCCTCTGTGCCAGTCAATCCACAAGTTAGGCTGTACCTTGTGGATGTCACAGAGTTGGGACTATTTTGTATCTTCTTATTGGGTCCCAACCAGAGGCGTGGTTCAGCCCCAGCAGATCCTGCCAGTTTTCTCTGCGCCAGGAGCAGCTGACTAATGTCACTGCGGCACAGGGCTCTGCCCAAATCCCAGCTGTCCTCCACCAGCAATTTTATTAATTTCTGCTGTGATCTTTATAATTTCCTTTCCTGTACTAGCTTTGGATTTATATTGTTCTTGTTTTTCTGGTACCTTGAGATGTATCATTAGGTTATTTGGGCCCACCCCATTTTTCTGATTTGTATATTTGCAACTACAAATTTTCCTATTAGGATTATTTTAATTGTATCCTGTAGTTTCTGGTATGTGGTACTGGTATTACTGGTGTTTGATTCTAGAAGCTGTCTAATTTTTTTCCTTGACTTTTTTCTGTTGTGATTCATTGATTACCCAAGAGTATATTATTAATTTTCATGTGTTTGCATAATTTCAGTGGCTTCTCATTTGCTTCTAGTTTCATTACACCATGGCTTGATCATATCCATAGGATAGTTTCAATTCCTTTATATCTCCTTATGCCTTTTTAATGGAGTAGTATGTGATCTATTTTAGAGAAAGTTTTATATACTGCTAAGAAAATATGTATTATGTTGTTGGGTAGAATATTCTGTAGATAACACTAAGTCCATTTGTTTGAAAGTTTAGTTAAGCTCAGATGCTTCTTTGGTGATTTATTTCTAGTTGATGATTTTTCTAGTTGATTTATTTGTGATTAGGGGTATTGAGGTTCCCAACTATTATTGTGTTGAAGTTTATCTGCCTTCCAATGTAAATTAATATTTGTTTTATCAAGTTGAGTTTGCTGGTGTTTTGGTACATATAATTCATAATTGTTATCTCTTTCTGTACTATTAGTACCTTAATCAATATGCAGTGACTCTTTGTTTGCCTTTTCTGATCAATTTTGGCTTGAAGCCCAATTTGTCTGAAAATAGAATAGCCGCATAACCATTCTTGCTTATTTTTAACACTCCTGCATTTTGGGGTGTTTTGTTTGTTTTATTGTTTTATGACATAGGGTTTTGCTATGTAGTTCAGGCTGACCTTGAATTCACTGTGTAGCCCAGGCTAGCCTTAAATTTGCAGCAATCCTCTTGCCTCAGCCTACTGAGTGCTGGGATTACAGGAGTGTGCCACCACTCCTGGCCTCCCTCATTTTCTAAATAGTGTTCTTTGAAGAACAAAAGTTTTAAATCTTGATGAAGTCAAATTTATTTTTTTCTTTTGTTGCTTATGCTTTTAGTGCCATATCTTAAGTCGCAAAGAAATCCAAGTCGCAAAGATTTGGTCTCATTTTTTCTGTTAGACTTGTATAATTTTGGCTATTAGGTTTAGGTCTTCGATAGATGTTTAAATAAGTATCTGTATGCAGTGTGGAAAGCCCAACTTCATCCATTTGGTGTGGCTGAGCAGTTGTCCCAACCACACACAGTCACGTGACTGAGCCTCAGAGATGAGATGTTGCATGGCTTGCGGGGCTGGGAGGGAAATGCAGCACTGACCCCATGGTGTTTCAGCCTGCCTATCTGCACAGGGACAAATGTTGATTGTTGGTAAGCAGGCATGTAAGTTTTCTGGCATAATTATTAAACTAGGGCTTCTTTGATTTTGTATAATGATTTAATAAACTAAAATAGTTTTTTTGCAGCTGCAAGAAAGGAAAAATGTATCATAGTTTTCCTCATGATTTGTAATTATATTCACAAGATTGCTAATTCTGAAAAAATAAATGGTTACTTATTCATTAGTTTTTTAGAATGTATAGAGTTGCAACAAGGCCTGAGCTCAAAGGAAAATGAAAAAGTCTCTTAACTAGACTTTTATAAGACCACTCTTCCCAGAGAAAAATATCCTTTGCTTCACATTCACACCCTATTCTCGTTACTGATTTTTGGCAGAATGTACATTTGTGAGCAAATGTTTTCATGTATGAACCACACAAAGTATAAAATCAGATAAAAAATAATTGAGAACTCACTAAATCATAACCACTCCCATTGAACCAGGCATTGATACATTAATTTCACACAAACATCAGTATCCCACTAGTTCCTGTTACCCTCTTTTCAATGTTATAATTAAAGTATTTTAAAGGAAGTTTTTTGCTTGTATGCATTCATTATGTATTTTATGTGGGACCCATGAAAGTTCTTCTTCATTCAGTATGACCCACATAAGCCGGAAGCCATGTATTGCTCCTTTACCACCTTCTCACTCAAAGATTAGTTTAGGAGTCTTCAAACTTGAGTCCAGTAGTTTTCGGACTTAAAGCTTAATACCATATAAAACTCAAGACACTTAGCTTTGGTGGCACCCACCTGTACTCTGAGCACTTGGGAGGCTGAGGCAGAAGGATCACTGCAAGTTCAAGGCCAGCTGGGGCTACATAATGAGTTGAAGACAAGCTTCAACTATATAGTGAGACTCTGGCTCAAGATGCTTAGCTTCAGAAGTCTTACTGTTTACCTGTGAAGTCATGAGGATCAAATAAACAGCACATTAAATTCTTTTTAAGCTACAAATCATTGTATAAATGTTTGTTATAAAAACTATTTGCCTGTTATTTTCATAAGTGTCTCCTCTTTGTGTTCCAGGCAGAACTCAAAAGCTTAATGGACAACGCTCCTTCCTCCTTTGAATTTGCTAAAGAACTCATCAGGCACAATCTGGTGAATAACGTTTTCCTGGCTTGCTTGACTTTAGTCCTTCTCCGCTTTGGTACACAACACTGAGATTGGGAAAATGAGTAGGAGATGCCCCAGCAGATCTCCCATTCCAAGGGACACCTCCTGATAGTGCAGGACAGGAAATGGATTTAATGTGTCATCCCTTTCCTTAGGAAAGACCTTACTGGAGGCATGGATATCACATTTGGGAAGATACACAAGACAGTGTATATAGCAAGGACAAAGGAAAATATCCTATGAGTTAGAATAGTAAGGGGTAGTTTTTGGCCTTTCAAAGGTGGCCAAAATTTAGAGGCCTCATTTTAGTCTAGGATATGGAGCTAGAATGTGTGAAGACTCGTGTGCAGGCTGATTTTACCGAGCAGCAGACACACTAAGGAGTGGAGAGGAGAGAGAGGGATGGGTTAGGTGTGTAGACACAGTGATGGCAGCTGCTGGCTTGAAGGCCAGGTGGTGTCTGACTCAGCAGGTAATGCAGGGAGGTGTAGAGAAGCTGCTTTGCACTCAGGATTCTTGGGCACATCGTCTCCATTGCTGATGCAGCTTTCCCAGCTAGCACGGTGACAGTAACTGTACCTTTTGCTCCTGTTTCTTTAGCACCACGCCTGCCAGTACCCCAAGTGGAAACCATGACTGCTGTAGACCCTCCCTCCCCTTCCTCTTTCATTGTATCTTAGAATCTTAAGTCTTAAACTCTAGGAGTTGTTTCTTGGCCTTATATCATGTTGATTGGTCCCTTCTCCATGTTGAGCCTCCATCCTTGATGAAGTTCTATTTGGATAGTTTCTATGATGGGCTCCGGCTTGTAACCTTTTTATTTTTAATCTGGTTTCTAAATCAAGGCTGGAGTGTTTTATGGAGAATGATATGTATTGTACTCGGGGGTTGTACACAGAGAACAATTAGGATTAGGACATGGAGTTTATAATATTTTTATAATGGTCACCGGGAGTTAACACAGGAAAATGCAAGAAATCTATCCGCAACACCAAAGACATAGATTATTTAGTCAAGAGCCTAAACCCCACGGCAATGTCCCACATGAGTGCAAATAAAAACCCAGAACTCAGGACAGTGCCTCCCGTGAGTCCAACTGGAGGTCCAGAGCCCACAAGAAGGACTCACACCAGTCTCTTTTATGGATCCGTGCCGGGAAGACCCAAGGGTCAGCAGTGGAAGCCAGAAAGTCTATGCCAGCAGGATGAAGGAGCTGTGCTAGTGGGATGAGGGTTCTACACTAGAGCTGAGAAGTCACACACTCACAACAAGGACCAGAGCTATCCTGAAAGGCACCACAGCCGTCCTCAGCGACACAGAGGCCCCGAGCTCCTCTGACAACAAGCACAGTCGGGTATGTGCCAGGAAGCAGCGTGAGGAGTTCATCTTGGAGACCAAGCAGCACATGTATTCCCCGCCGGAGCCAGGAAGCAATGCTCGATGTGAAGACCAGAGCTTCTCCAAGAGAACCAAAAGCTCAGACAGCAACTCGTAGGAGAACCCACAGTGCCTCCTTAATGCCTCAACCCTCCAACACCTCCTTTCTTCTCCACCTATTTATCCTGGCAACTTTCCTCAGGTGGAGCATCTTCACTCAATGCCATGGTGATGTAATCCAGCTGGCGTTAAGTTGACCACCAGTTCTTAACCCGTAACAGTATGTTAGGAGTGTAAGCCAGAATAGAGATCAATTTGAACACAGGTCAAGGAGTTGTCTTAGGAGGCACAGCAAGTAAATATGGAAGATTGAAACTGCTGAATTTCTAATAAATATTGAAGAAAGAATTAAAACAGTGAAAACTATAGTTCCAAAAAAGTGTCTATGTTCAGGTGGCTGGAGGAAGGAAAATAAGCAAAGGAGAGAAGAAAGGGCAGACAATTGGAGGTGCTTAGATGATGTGATGGTGTTAGAGCTGCACATTTTCATCACCTGTGAGGCTCTGTGAAGCTAACATGGACTCCACTCCCATGCATATGTATATATATATATATATATATATTTTTTTTTTTTTTTTTATAATGAGGGGGAGCAGCAAGGTTTTCCTGTTTCTCCCAGGCTGTCCTTGAACTCTTGGGCTCAGGTGACCCTCCTTCCTCAGCCTCCTGTGTAGCTGGGACTATAGGTGCACACAGCCTCACCTGGTCTTCCAGGACCTTTCCTTAAAAGCTTCCTAGGTGTAGGGCTGGGGATTTAGCTCAGCGGCATAAGAATCTGCCTTGCAAGCATGCAGTTATGAGTTCAATCCCTGGTACCGATTAAAAAAAAAAAAGCTTCCTAGGTGTATGTAATGTACAGCTCAAGGTAAAGAAACTCTGTGTGTGTGTGTGTGTACAGGGCTGAAGAAGCATATCAAATAGTTAATGAGTATCAGCTTTGGAGAAGGGATGAAAGAGAAAAGTAAGAGTCTGACGTTGTGTAAGTGGTCGTTAAGAATATCAAATTTTGAGCCAGGAGTGATGGCACATGCCTGTGATCCCAGCACTCTGGAAGGCTGAGGCAGGAAATCACAGGTTTGGGCCTACCCTGGGCAATTCAGCACCTATCTCAAAATTTAAAGAAAAATTTTTTAAAGGCTAGAGTCATGGCTCAGTGTGAAGGCCCAGGATGCAATCCCCAGTACCACACACACAAAATAAACTTTTGAAGTCAGAGTTGAGGTCAAATTCACATTATCATGGACTAGCTCTATAATGTCAAGATCACTAACACTGCTGAGTATCAGTGTTCCCATGTTGAAGAATAAGGAAAATTAAAATCCCCTTCTTTTTTGTTTTTTGTTTGTTTTTTATACTAAAGATTGAGCCCAGGATTTTCATACTGAACTGTATCACCAGCCCTTTTAAATTTATTATTATTATTATTATTTTAGGCAGGGTCTCACTAAGTTACCCAGGCTCTGATCAAGCCTGTGATCCTTCTGTCTCAGTTTCCCCGAGTGCTGAGATTATAGATACGCAAACTCCTGGCCTCTGTCGTTTTGGGAATTCAGATTGTGTAAGGTGCCTAGCAAATAGAAATTGAGTACTCTTTATCTGAAATGCTTAGGGCTAGAAATATTTCAGGTATTGAAATGTTTGTATTTGCCTAATGAGATATCCTGGGGAAAGCCCCAAGTCTAAACATGAAATTAACTTGTGTTTCCTATGTACCGCATACATATATATGGTCTGCAAGTATTTTACCTGTTTCTAGTGAGCTTGTGTTTAAACTGCAGTCTGCCACATGAAATCATGTGAGGAATTTGCAGCACTGAAAAACTTTCAGATTTTGGAGCACTTTGGATTTTTGGATTAGCGATTCATTTAGTAAATGTTGGTGTTATTGTTGTAGACAACAGTCTCAGAACTGCAAGAAGAGAGAAAAGTCCTTTGAATTTGGTCACAAAGACTGATTTGTGGCTTGTGATAGTAAACTGACTCATACACTGACAGCCAAGGCCAATTTCTTGGGAGGTTAAGGAGTGAGAGGATGGGAAGAAGTTAGAAGCAGTGAGCCACCTACTTTTGAAGTGTAGCTTTGAAACCAAGGAGAAAAAGTGAGCGCACTATCGAGAGGGGCTAGGGGGTCAGGGGCAAGATTTTCTGAGAGAACACAAACTCTTGTGTGTATTCAGAGTTGAGAAGTAGGACTGGTGCTTCAGAAGATGAAAGATGCAGCGACTGATGGAGAGACAAAGTCCAGACGGAGTCAGAAGTCCTGGGATGAAGGAGATGGAAGGAATTAACTTTGGCAAAAGAAGGGGGTGTGGCAAACAGAAACCAAAAAATATGATCCAAATAGATAATCTGAGGTAGAAAGAAAAGACTATGCGGCTCAGGCCTGCTGGCCTTGATTTCCATGTATTTGTTTGTGAAAATCTACTGTGTGCCAGATACCTTCCTGGGCCCTAGAAATATAGCATGCAAAACCAATTTGTCTAGCCAGGCATGATGGCACACACCTGTAATCCAGAACTTGGGAGGCCGAGGCAGGAAGATCACTGAGTTTGAGGCCAACCTGGACTACATAATGAGTTTAATGCCAGCCTGAACTCCTTAGACCCTGTCTCAAAAAAACAGAAAAAGAAAAAAATCCAATTGTCCTTTTATGGATTTTGGGTTTTCTTTGTAGCATGTATTATCACCTGACCACATATGTTTATTTTTTGAAGGTCTCTCTGCACTTGCACTGTCTGTGTGGCGACAGAGAAGCCCAGTGCTCATTAGAGTAGCAGGCATAGCGTAGATGCTAACAGGTGTTCACCAAATTAACAAAGTCAAATATTACCCACTGTGTGCCCCACACGGAGCCCACTCTAACTCACTTAATCCTCGTAAGTAGTCTAATGCCACAGATAAAGAGGAAGCAGGCTCAGAAAGGCTGTGCGCATTGCATTGCAGAGGATTTTTGCTTTGTTCTGTAGTGCTGAGAACAGAATCCTTATGGAGCTTTTGATGTCGGTATAGAGAAGAATTTTATTCATTGTTGGATACTTTAAGAGTTTTTCTGAGCTAGGGATATGGCTAAGAGGTACAGCATATGCCTAGCATGCACAAGGCCTTGGTTTCAATACTTAACAAAATAATAGTAATGATATTAATAATAAAGTTCTCTACAGTTCTTATGACGAGAAAAGGAAATGTTTGCAATAAGAATTATACCATTGTTCTATTTCTTTCCTTGGGTCTTTTTTTTTTTTTTTTTTTTTTAGTTGTTTTGAGGCAGGACCTCACTATATAAGCCAGGCTGGCCTTGAACTCACAGCAGTCCTCCTGCCTCAGCCTCCCAAATTATAGGTGTGCACCACCACACTCAGTTTTTATTGTTTCTTGTACTTACTGTAATTTACACAAGTTTTCTTTCAGTGAGATCTTGTATACATGAAGAATATCAAAAATATATTCACCCTTTAAAAATAACTGGATGACTACCATGTTAAAAATAACTGGATGACAACCATATTTTGGTGGGTATAACATAAACAGATGAATGAGGAAATCCAGAGCTAAAGGAAGCAGTGTGCTAGATGGAGTGTCACAGGCTTGTAATTCCAGCTACTTGTGAGGATCACAAGTTCAAGGCCAATCTGAGCAACTTCTAGAGACCCTGTCATAACAATAAAAAAAAAAAAATGTCTAGAGATGGAGCCCAGCTGATTCCCAGAGCCATTTTAGTTTGGTGTCATGAACCCAGTTATACGTGGTAGCCCTCCAAGCATTTCCACTAATAAAGTGTACACACCTACTGTGGCAATAACGTAACTTCTCTGTCTTAGGTTGTCTTCCGAGGGGGTGAAGGGGCTCTGCAGGTTTTACCTCCCCTGGTGGATGTCATTCCAGAAGCGAGGCTGAACTTGGTGATTTACTACCTACGTCAGGGTGAGAAGCCACTGTCTTGGTCCTATTATAATGGCATATTTGGGGATCTTTAATCTGATAAATCATTATAGGATGATTGAAATCTGATTGAAAAACTTGCTTAACTTTTAAATTCCATTATATTTACAAAGATGTATTTTCCACAGGTTCTCATAGGACAATAGGCTCCTTGGTGATTACGTGTTGTGCCTTTTATCTTTATCTTCTTTCCTCTTATGTTACTACCTACCTTTTCCGTTTTTCTTTTTTCCTCTGTCCTTTGCTTTCTGCCCATTCCTTTTTGATTTTTCCATTGTTTTCTTCCCTTTGTGTTTCTTCTTCATTTTTCTTGCTTCTCCTTATATATAATGTACACCCATGTTTTGTGTATGTGTGCATTTGTGCGTGCATGCATGTGTGTGTGTGGTTTTTGAGACCAGGTCTGTGGTTTAGACTGTCCTTAAACTCACTATGTAGTGCAGGCAGGCCTTGAGCTCATGGTGAATCTCCTGCCTCAGGCTCCTAAATGCTGGGAATAGCAACATACCCAGATCACTTTCTTTTCCAATTTTTTTTTTTATTATTTAAAGAGAATGAAACTGAAGGGGGGAAAAAAGGGTAGAAATAATACAAAATTACAGAAAAATAAACAGTAAGAAATCACTAGTTGATAAGTTACATATTGTCATCTTAGAAATAGTTGTTCTGGTTACAAAATTAGAGCATACAAAGTGACATTCAAATAGTGACACTGCCAACAGTTCTGCTCAATGATCCAACAAAAACTTAGTAATATGGTTATCAGTCCTACACACTTGTTTTTTATTTTAAATAGGGTAAGATTAAACATATCAAAACAGAACAAAACAGTTCAAAAAGAAACAATTTATATTGTTTAATTGTTAAACAGATTTCAAAGCAAGTCCACTGGAGATCTTAACTATATCTCATTGTCTCTAGTTTTCTTCCAAATAATTGTCCCCATCTTCGCACACATTGAATACATACTGCATATTATAGAACTAAGAAATCATTATAGGATGATGAAGGCTTTTTAGGTCTTCAAGATCTGACATTGGGGAACTCAATAATGACTACCATAATGTCTCTCTTTCTCTTCATAGTAGCTGTCCTTATCTTTTTGTATGTTGAAATTGAACTTAAGAGACTAGACTAATATCACTCTGAACAGTGAATAATAGTATTGCTAGATTTTATGTCATAATGTTACAGAATTAGCATTGGGTTTCGTAGTGTCTCCTCTTCTTCAGGGTATCTGTTCATTACATCTTGCATTATATCATCTGTTCCCGTAAATAGTTTAAAAAATTCTTCCCATGTGTGAATTTCTACATGTATATCTATCTCTCTGTATTATGGGGAAAAACAGAGCATAACAAGACAACAAAAAAAATTCCTAGAAAAGCATGCAATGAAAAAGACACATAAGACCACAATATTAGGTGATCTACCATAGTTACTAAGCTTTCTCTTGTTATTTTCAATAGATTTGTCCACATCATCAGGCTTAATATAGTTAAGCATAGTATTACATAGCTATTTTTATAAAAACACAACTTTGAAAGCATTGTAGGACTTAAGAGCAGTTAATAATCAAAACCAGTATGGATATCTTTTACATCTTGTCATCTTCAGAGTAGTTGCCTACTTTTAGACTTGATACTATTAAGCATACCAAATTTGAATAAAATCAGCCAAGGCAAAACCACGGTCTAACAAACCAGATTCAAATAAGATCAGTCATAGTAAGACAATGTAAGTAATACAGGGTTTCAAATTAAGTTAATAGGAAATTAAGAATAGTTACCATGGTATAACCTGCTATTTTTGGGTTAGATGTCTGTGCCCTCAAATCTGATATGAGTGGACAGACCGGAACAAAATATAATCAAACTAAACAGAGCGATAAGACTACTGTGACTTTTAAATCCTGATAAACTATTAACAATGTCCTCTGCCTTCCTTTTTTAGGCTATTTTTCACCTTTCCCCTTCTCAGGATGCTTTGTATGTTTTAGGTCTCACTAGCCCCTTTAGTTTTTAGAATAGGGGGCCAGCCTGTTGTCTATCTGAGTGTTGCTGAACCTTTCTACCCCTGAGCTTGATCTTGAGCTGTACTCCTTTACTCACTAAAGTCATAGGGTTCGCCTTCCTTCCAGCTGTGTAGTTCAACACTGCCCAAAAGTATCATAGCTTTCCAGTTTATCTGCGGCTGCTGGATGAGTTGTCCCTATTTCTCTCTGGTTTCCTGTCACATATAGCTTTGCTTTCTCATCTTTGTTTTTGTCTTTTTCCTTTTTATTGGTACCGGGGATCGAACTCACGACTGCCTGCTTGCAAGGCAGGCTCTTATGCCACTGAGCTAAATCCCCAGCCCCGTTTTCTCATCTTTGACTTTCAGTTTATTAACCCTCCTTTGGGTTCAGTTTATTTCCCATTCAGAGCATCTCGATAGAGCCTGCCTCCTAATCTACTCTGCCTGTTTTTTTTAATTTTAGTGTATCAAGCCTATCTGTATTAAAGATTATAGCTTACCGTCTCTGCCTCATGTCTGCTATTCCACTTTACTGCTATAATTTGTCCACCTTACTCTCTCATTCCACTGTCTGCCCCATTCATTGAGGCCTCTCTGCCACTGTTGCTGGAATCCTGGTATCCCTTCCTCTCTCTCTCTCTCTGGAATGTCCTTCTGCACTCTCTGTAGGGTTGGGTTGGTGGCCATGAACTCCCACAGTTCCTCCTTGTCTTGGAAACATCTTATTTCTCCATTAATTTTGAGAGAGAGTTTTTCTGGGTACAACAGTCTTGGTTGCAAATTATTTTCTTTCAGGGCTTGGAATATTTCCTCCCATTCCCTTCTCAATTTGAGAGTTTGTGTTGATAAATCTGTTGCTATTTTGATAATTTTTCCATTGTAGGTAATCTGCTTCTTTTCCCTGGCTGCTTTTAGTATTCTGTTCTTTTGGTGGATTTCTGGAATCTTGATTATTATATGTCTGGGTGTAGATCTGTTTTGGTTGTAGATGGCTGGAGTTCTGAATGCTTCATTTATCTGGATATCATTTCTTTTTCCTATGCTTGGGAAGTTTTCCTTTAATATATCTGTGAATATTCTTTATATTTCATTTTTGGTTACTCCTGCTTCCTCACTCACATGCTTTATTCTTAAGTTATGTATCCTTTTGTCATCTTCTAGCCTTTGAATTGTTTCTTTCTGGCTCCTCATTATTTCTAAGAGGTCTTTTATTTCAGTGATCATATATCATAAATCTCTCTTCAAGTTTCAAAAGGCTAACTTGAGTTTCTGTCAAGGCATTTTACCAGTTTTCAATGGAGTTTTTAGTTTCCTGGTAATCTCTTTGGATCTGTTTCATGTATTCTAGATTATGTTTAAATTCTTCATCAGAGGTTTCTCTTTCTTTTCTGATTTCTTCCGTTCTTCCATCTGTGTTCTCTTGGGAGGGGCTTATCATTTCTTTAATTAATCTTTTTATATCTTGCCTCACTTGGATCAGAAGTATAGTTTTAAATTCATCTATGAGGTCATGAAGATATTTCTTTATTTCGGCTAATGCTGTGTCTAGTATTGGGTGGTTTCTGCACTGGTTCTCTTCTGTATTTACTTCTCCTGGGCTTTTTTCCCAGGTTTAACAGCTGGAGATTTTTTTTATTTCTATCTCTTGTCATGTTTCTGGTTTCTTTCAGACTGGTGTGTCCTGGGTGTCTCCGGCCCTCTCCATATTGCTTAGGGTCTTCCCGAAGCGTGCTGACTAGAGTTTTTGCTGCCCTCCCCAATTTGCTGTTATCTGTGTACACACAGGGATGTAGGGACAACGCAGGCTAGCCTCGAGCCTCTGAGCCAGACAATCTGCAAGTTAGGTGTACCTCGTAGACGTCACAGAGTCGCGATAATTTTGTACCTGCTTATTGGGTCCCAACCAGAGGCGTAGCTCAGCCCCAGCAGACCCTGTCAGTTCTCTCTGCACCAGGGGCAACTGACTGATGTCAACTGCAGCATCGGGCTCTGCCCAACTCCAAGATGTCCTCCACCCAGTGACAGCAGCCGTGGGACCCAGTCCCTGGCACTCACCGGGAATCAATGCAGATCTTCCTCTTGGGTCCACTGCACACTGCGCTGCGTGTCTTAACTGTGTTCCCAGCACAGTGTGGATGGGTCAGAAAACTGCATGGTGTCTGGCTTCAGAGCCCAGGAGCTTCTTGCAGTCTCCTCTGGCACAGCCAAGTGGCTCTGCCTGCTTCATGGGGTCCCAGGTCCCAATTTCTAGCAGTCACTGAGAGCCAAAATAGCTCTTCTCCTTGGATCCACTGCTCACTACACTGTGTCCTCCCATTAAGGGCCCAGGATTCACCGACTCCGGTTATCAGCAGCCACAGGCTCAGCATGACCTTGGATCCTCCGGGCACGCCTAGTACAGCGTGGAAGGGGTTTCATTGAGCTCACCAGGCTTCAGCTTTCCACCTGCGCTTTTAAAAACCTTCCTCTTCCTACTTTTATTTTTCCCTTCAGTTACTGCCTTGGTTAATAAGAATTGTTATCCATTCGTCTGGCCCTCTCCATCTTGTCATATTCTAGCATCTGATCTGATTTCTCTGCAGAGACTCTGCACCCAGCCCCTTAGCAAGTCAACATTTTTTTCTCTCAGATCATTTTCTTATCTTTTATTTTTACTTTTTTTTTTTTTTTTGGTGGTACCAGGAATCGAACTCAGGACCTTATGTTTGCCAGGCAAGCTCTTATGCTGCTGAGCTGTATCCCTGGCCTCTATCTTTTGTTTTTAATCATCACCTTTTTCTATTTGTTTTAGTTGTCTGCCTTTCTGCTTGTATGTCACACATGATTCAAAGAGAATGTGATATTTATTGCCTTTAAGAGAAGGTAAAATCATTAGCCACAGGCTGAAAGCAGCTTATCTAGAGTGAGCTGTTTGGGGCAGTGGCTGCCAGACTAATAGTGTGGGCCTTTTCATACATGCAGCACACCAGCCAGACAATTGCTCCTCAGCACAAAAAGTGCAGCTATTGAAATGGGAGCATGAACTTGCAAACAGCCTTATTTCATAGCTAAATAAAAAGAATTCTGCTTCTGGATAAGAATTAAAGAACCAGTCTGTATATTTTATAAATATTTTATTATGTAAAATTTAAGACAAAAGCATGTATTATAAGAAACATCCAAATATGAATCACATATCTAATAATTCAAGGTACTGCTGATATTTTAATTTTCCATCACTGTTTGTTCAAATCTTGACTTTATGTCACTTTACTCCTATTACTTGATTTGTCTGGTATTTTTAGATGATTTTTTTTCTTGTCTAAATATTATGCCACTGACATATTACATCTAGCCTATATTCTTAGCTTGTTTAGATATTTTCACAACTTATCTGAATTTTCTAAGGATATTGTATGATCTTTAGCTTAACTCTACAACATTAAACTTGATGCATACTTAGAGGACAGATAAAACAGATTATGTTTCTGTGGTTGGTGTGTGTGTGTGTGTGTGTGTGTGTGTCAGTACTGGGGATGAAACCCATGACTTTGCACATGCTACATAAAGATCTTTACCCCTGAACTACAACCACAATCCTATTTTCTGTGACTACTTGAATAGTGAGGGATCTTTTGGGGGAGTATTTCAGAAGGCTTTGCTGAAATACAGACTACTATAACTTAGTTCTTGTTTCAGATGATGTACAGGAAGCTTATAACTTAATTAAAGATCTGGAACCTACTACTCCTCAGGTAACTGAAAATGTTAGACAAGTACAGTGGGAAGCGGGCATTCAGCTGTTAGCTCAAAGGCAGCCCAGTTAGAGGAGGGTCCTGCTTGTAGGATCTCAGGAGAGGCTACCTGCATTGAGCTAGGCAGGTTCTGTGTGACTGACTCCTCGGGGCTCTGAAGCGCTGAGATTCCCTCATGCACAATTGGTTCTTCCAGAGGATTAAGGTTGGAGAGTATTAAAATCTAGAATTCTGATAAAAATGACCAGGTGTATATATTTCTCTCACCAGTATACTTGCCAGTAACTTATCCTTCCCACCCATTAGAGTGTTCACTCTTGCACCAGGTGGGCCAGTGTTGTTGTGTGTCTGACACTGGACCTAAGTACCTGGCAGGCATTGTTCAGTGACTGACTGGATGAAAGTGAGGCATCTGAGCAAGTATGTTTCTCAAGTGTATTAAAACCTTCATCATCTCTTGAGAGTTTATGAATATGGTAAATTCTGTTCTACGGCCATTTGCCTGCTAGAAATAAAATGAAAGTCTCCTGATTCATTAAAGCCACCCATAGAACAGAGAAAAGTGAGTCGAGATGAAGCATGGAGTTGACACAAGGAATGAAATACAAAATTGTCTGATAGCTTCCATCCCCTTAATCGTCAGTGGTATTGCACTTTGCAGGAGTACATCCTCAAAGGAGTGGTCAACGCAGCCCTCGGCCAGGAAATGGGTTCGGTGAGTACGAAATCACTGCTGTTCTATATCATGTTTCCCCGAAAGTCAAACTGGGTCCTATACTAAGTTTTGCTCCAAAAGACATAATAGATTGTATTGTATTTTCAGGGACTGTCTTTTTTACGAAAGTACAACAATTTACATTTGCTCATGTATAGAAAACTTTACTTACTCAGGTACAAAAATCCACATCTGCTTGAATACAGTCGTCTCACCCTCTGGAACATCATCATAACTCTCCAAACCCTAATTTCTTGTTACTCCGTTCCCTATAGAACCAGTAGCCCCAATCTCATATTCAGCAACAGACCTGTCCTTAAAGAAGCATGCCTTGTCCAGGTAACCTGCTCATAGCACATTGTTACAGCACACGACATGCTGAATGATGAAGGGATTCATGTTAGACACAACTACAACCCTCTGTTATCAAGTGTGCATGGTCGTTATTCGTGCAGTGTCTGTGTGCCAACTGGTCATTTGGTTTAAGTCTTGAGTTCATCCTTTACATAGGCTTTTACCTCTTATCCCAAGGTGCCTGCTTGGATACTTACAAAAACTTAATTGTAATTTATATTACCATTATTTAAGTATTAATGTCAACAACACTTATATTTAATTATATATTAATATTTTATAATTAAGTATGTTTGTTGTATGTTGTAGCAGATGTACTAAACGCATCCATCTGGCTGGTGATCTTGACTGGGACTAATCTTGGGGGTAGAGCTTAAATTATGAGCATGTCCTAGGGCTTACTTTGCAGTTAGGTCTTATTTTTGAGGCAATGTGGTAGCTTACAAAGCAATAGACATATGGAAAAGACCAAAATGAATATCAAAGTGCAAACAAGCTTTTCTCTAGTTTTACTTCTCAAAATCACCCAATCCAGTCACTTAAAAAAATTGTTGTTTAAAAACAAAGAAAAAACCCTTAAACCTTCAACTCTAAAAATCAATGCTTTGTTTTAAAAGATCTCTGTTTTTATATAGTGCTTATATTTAATAAACAAAAATATCATTGCAAAGCTTTAGTCTAATTTCCAGATTTTAAAATCTTGCCATCTGTGAGCTTTAATTTTGGGATGAATAAAATGGGAGAAATTGTTCCTCTAGGTAAGCTTTTCTTTTTCTTTAGAAACTGGGGGTACTGGGGATTGAGCCCAAGGCCTTACGCATCTATGTATATAACCCTAGCACTGAGCTACACCCCCAGCTCCTCTAAGACAGCTTTTTATAAACGGCAACACTAACATTAAGCTCTTACCCATGTTAATATGACATACTAAGGTTTTATGAATTGAACTTACACCTTTAATATTGAGCTACAACTCCAGCCCTTTTTTGTTTTTTATTTTGAGATGCTGTCTAGCTAAGTTGCTAAATTGTTCAGGCTGGGAATAAATCTTTATATCTCTGGTTCACTCCACAATGTCTTGTGTAGTAGGTAGACAGTAAATATTTGTTTCATAAATAAATGAGTTTAATAAATACTTCTTGTACCCTTACCTCCTGTACCAGTTCTAATATACTATGAAAAGCATTAAATATTTGTTGAATGAGTAAATGTATTAATTTATGTAACATGGGTATTTTTAGGGTACTATTTGTGAATTTGATTTTGTTTTCATCTTTTCCGTCTGACCCTTCATAACTTTTCATTCCATTTCAGGTTATCATTTTCTAATGGCTTATTCTAATGACGGTATTGTTTGGGACATGGTTTACAACAAAAAGCATGTTAAATCCTGACATGGTAGAACCATGATATTTTTGGCCTCTTCCTCTATGTCAGCTCCGTTTTCTTTTTCAGAGGGATCATATGAAAATTGCCCAGCAGTTCTTCCAGTTGGTGGGTGGATCCGCGAGTGAATGTGGTATGTCCGAGGCCCACACCAATGCCGCACTGGCCGGGGAAGCCTGATCCCTGTCTAGAGATGTGCATATGTTAGGCTGCACCTTATGAAGTGGGAGTGAAGAGACAGAAAAGATTAGAACTAGGCCTTCTGAACATCTCAGCTAAAATGGAACAGGAGAATAAATCAAGGAGAATAAGTTTACTCTTTAGCTCATGAGAATTTTAAAAATTTGAATCGGTTGTAGACATGATGCATTAGGTTTTATTGAATATTTCACAGCTTCTTATGTATTGAGTTTTTGCCACATTACAGATGTTTCTTTTTTCCCATTGGGTCATTTGTCTTTAAATGTTGCCCATGTTATTTATTTGTTACATAAAAATTTCAAAATCACATATAAGTTTTACCTTTTCCATAATTATTTCTTAGATACCAAGCTTAAAAACTTCCAGTTATATAATGTTCACACATATATCTCCCAGTATCAACCTTGGGACTTCATTGTTAAAGTTTTGATTTTACCAGTCAAGACTCAGTGTAAAATTTGAAGTAGCTGTAAAAGGCTCACTTTCCAGTGTGAGCTGATACGGCTGCCCGTGCCAGTTGTCTATGGTTGGCATCTCTTCTGAGTACGTGTTCATGCTGCACGATTGTCCAGTATTTTATTCACACCCCACCCCAGAAATTCATAAACATTTCACTTACACCATTTACTGAATAGTATTTTCTTTTTCTGTTTTTTTCCTTGAGATAGGATCTCTCTATATAATTCAGTCTAGCCTTGAACTCACTAGGTAGCCGAGGCTGGCCTTAAACTTACAGCAGTCCTCCTGCCTTAGCTTCCTGAGTGCTGGGATTACTGGTGTGCACCACCACACCTGGATTGAACAGTATTTTCTATCCCTGTTTCATTTGTCTGTACAACAAAAATGTATTGAGGTATATAGTGGTGAAAAAAAAGAAAACTCCTTCCCGTGTCGAGGTTCCATCTAGTAGGATAGACAAACTGGGAACATACATAAAAATGAGTATGTGGCACATTGGGCTGTTACCTGCACACGGATTGCCTGTGTCAAGGGTTGAGATTATACAAGTCCCCTGTTACCTCAGATGGGAGGCTGATCTCAAGCAGGAAAGTTGGGTGAGGATCAGAATCAGCTGGAAAATATTATTTCCCATTGAGAGGGCTGCTAGGTTGTCTTAAACGTAGTGAGGAAAACCCTCACACACACCAGCAGCCATCAGAAGACACTGCCTGCAAGTAACCAGCCCAGTGGGGAGGCAGAGGCTCCTGCCCCTGTGTGCACTCCAGCAGCCCTCCAGATGCCTCTGCCCCAGCACGGGCTGGGAAAAACAGCAGCTGGCCCTGCACTAGCACACCCAGTGGCCACCATTGGATACTGGTAGCCAGCACTGGCCAGCAGATCCAAACAGTCATGCACTGGAGAAATTGTAGCCAATGTAGGAAGTGCCTGGACCCCACTGCCCACTTGTTTGGAAAAACCCAAGAAAATGTCAAAAAAAAGAAGCAAAATGCTGTCCCTGGTCTCCAGCCAAGCAGAGCAAGTCCAGGAGATAAAAACATAGAAAAGATCAGGAGTCACACACCTGAAGTTTCTGAAGTAAAGAAACAACTTCATGAGGCTATAAAATAAATTAGATCAGAAATGCTATCTCAGGTAAAAGAAGAAATGAAAACCATAAAAGAATTGCTAAGCATCTCTAAAGAAAACATAGATAGGGCTGGAGGTTTAGCTCAGGGGCTGGAGGTTTAGCTCAGCAGCATAAGCGCCTGCCTTGCAAGCAGGCAGTTGTGAGTTCGATCCCTGGTACCGATAAAAAGGAAAAAGACAAAAAAAAAAAAAAAAAGAAACCATAGATAAAAAAATAGAAGATCATAGGAAAATGAGAGAAACCGTGAGCGAACAATATAAGAGAGATTTAGAATGCATGAAACATTCAAAGAGATATCCAGGAAATTAAAAACTCCATTGAAAGTAGGCAAAACTGCTTGAAGGAAACTGAAGATGGACTTTCAGTCCTTGAAGACAGGTGTGCAGCTTGTGATGGTGAAAGGAAAGATCTCTTAAAAATAACAAAGAACCAGGAAATAACAATTCAATGACTACAAGACAATGCAAAGCAAAATAACTTAATAATAGTTATCAGTAAAAAGCAGGGATCAAGACAAATGACATTAAAATCCTATTTACAGAGATAATAGCAAAAAACTTCCCAAACATGGCAAAAGGACATGATATACAGATAAGTGAGGCACATAGAACTCCAGCTAACCATAACCAAAAATAAATCTACACCCAGACATATAACAATCAAGATCCCAGAAGTTCAACACAAGAACAGAATATTAAAGCTATTAAGGAAAAGAAATAGCACCTATAAAGGAAAACCCATCAGAATCACGACAGATTTCTCAACACAAACCATCAAGTCAGGAGGCTGGAGTGCAGTATTTCAAGCCCTGAAAGGAAACAATTTCCAACCCAGATTGATGTATCCTGAAAAACCATCTTTCAAAATTAATAGAAAAACAAGATACTTCCATTACAAAGAACAACTGAAGAAATGCATGGCCACCAAATCAACCCTACAAAAAACAGAGTAGGACATTCTAAAGATAGACATAAAAGATCATGGTTCCAAGAACAGCGGCAGAGGGAGGTCCCCAAGTGGGGCAGACAGCTGAATGAGGGGAAAAGCAGGGAGCCAACAGCGGAAAATAGGAAGGAAGAGAAGAGCCAGTGCATGTTGGCCGTAACCATTAATGTAGATGGCCTCAATTCACCAATAAAAAGAGCACAGGCAGAATGGATCAGGAGATAAGATCTATCAGTATGCTTTATTCAAGAAACACATTTAACTCAAAAAGGAAATTCATAGACTAAAAGTCAAAGGAGAAAAAACAATGCTTTATGTGACAGGGGATCAGAAAAAAAAAAGTAGGGGTAGCTTGCCATCAACTGCAGAATGGGTAAGGAAGATACGGCTCCTCAGCTATAAAGCAAGATAACCTCCAGGCACTTGAGGGGAGATGGATACAACTTGAGATCATGCTCATGGGTGAAATGGTTCAGAGTCACATGGGTGAATGGGTGAACATCATGTTGTATCCCTAGTATAAGAAACTAATGGAGTTAGTGGGATCCCAAATGCAGGATAGATGTTGTGAAGTGAAAGGGGAGGAGAAGTCTAGAGGGGGAAAGCAGTAGCCATTGTTAATCTACGTCCTGTTTTGAAACCCTGTATTGTTTTCATTGTTCTGTTTAGTTTGGTTTTATTGTTTTGTTTTGTTTTGTTTTATCATATTTGATGGCACAGACAGCTACTTGAAAAATAACAAAATATAGTAGCCATTATTGATCTTCGGTTATCTTGTTTTGAAGCCTTGTATTGCTTTACTTGTTTTCTTTTGATTGATTTTATTCTGTTCTGTTTTGATTTTATTATGCCTGATGGTATAGGAAGTTATTTTGAAGATAACAAGAGGCATCATGGTACCAATGTTGGTTTCCTTTTATCTTGAAGTCTTATATCATGTGTGTTGTTTTGTTTGGATTGGCTTTATTCTGTTTTATTTCTTTCAGTTTTATTTGCTTAAAAAAAAAAAAAAAAAAGCAAGTGAAGAAAGCAGCCAGATCACAGGAAGAAGTATGTAGATGTGGGAGTTCGGTGAAAGAAATGAGTCTGGGAATATGGTTGTGAGTGTGTCACTGGCTATGTGTTTCCTGGGACTCTGCGCCTGAACCACAGGGAGACTGTCAGTCACTCTCAAGCACAAGTGATCTCTGTTGGGCTACAAATGGAACCTGTAATTGTGGAAGCTAGAAAGATGTCTTGGAATACATCACTATCACTGAATTATAAAATAACTCAAATCTCAACTTAAAAGAACTTTAGTTTCATGAATTTTCTTGGTTTCTTTTTCTCCTCCATTTCAGATACAATTCCAGGGAGGCAGTGTATGGCTTCCTGTTTCTTCCTGCTTAAGCAATTTGATGATGTCTTGATCTACCTCAACTCATTTAAGGTTAGTTTAGAGTTGTCTACAACTCTGTTTGAGATACTCTATATAATGCGTGAGAAGTTAAGAAACTTCTACAGATAACACTTCTTTCTCTGTTGGCATGAGTGGCATAAAGGAATTAGTCTGCTTTCTTAAAAATTATTTTTATGTTTGCCTTGTAAAACAATGGTTTTCTGTTTTATATGTTAATACCCACTGTGACCTGGCCATGGGATGTTTTTCAGAGTTACTTCTATAATGATGACATCTTTAATTTTAATTATGCCCAAGCCAAAGCTGCAACAGGCAATACCAGTGAGGGTGAAGAGGTGAGCACCTACTTTTATTTTCTTTTACTAAGATGACATTTCCTAGGATACCCACTTTTGAAGGCATTTGAATATTTCTATCTAAAAGCATCTTTATCTTTTTTTTTCACTTAAATCAAATGATCAAGGGTAAAGGACTGTTAGAGATTTCTTTGTTCTTAGGCTATATTAAAAAGTACAATAAGAATAGATGTGTAGATTTTGTAACTATATTAATGTTTACCCTTTTGTGGTAAGTTTTATGAACTATACAAGAGGCGATTAAAATGTATGATGAATGTTTAAATTTAAAAACTTATTGTATTGAAAGATACATTGCCAATCCCAGCACTCAGGAGGCTGAGGCAGGAGGATCTTTGCAAGTTCGAGACCAGCCTGGGCTACAAAGTGAGCTCAAGGCCAGCCTGAACTGCACAGCAAGACCTTGTCTCAAAAAGACAAAAAAAGAAAGAAAGAAAGAAAGAAAGAAAGAAAGAAAGAAAGAAAGAAAGAAAGAAAGAAAGATACATTACTATTTATCCTCCTCAAAACACACACACTTCTGCCGCATCGTTCTTGCCACTTTCTGACACGGTTCTGGAACAGCTCTTTCATGAGCGTCTTTACCAGGTGACGGTGAAGGCTGTGCTCTGTGCCATCCAACAGAAAGTCGTCTCTTACCGACTGTGTCTGGCACATGGGGCTTCTAGCTCTTCCCCAAGACCAAAATGATCATGAAAGGGAAACATTTTGAATCAGTTCCAGACATTGAGGCAGCCACACAGCAAACTAAAGACATTCGCCAAAAGAGGACTCCAGAACTGCTCCAGGAAGTGGTGGGAAGATGACAGGAGAATATTTGGAGTGGAGGATTTTGAAGGAATAAAAATAAATGACAATGTGCTTTTATTGTATGCAACTTTTAAAAATTTAGATAGCCACTGTAGTTTTTAGTCACACCTTGAATGTAAATCACAAGTACACCACTTGGTGACTTTTTACAAAGTGGGCATGTCCATATAATCAGTACCCGGATGATGAACCAAATAGTAAAAAAAAACCCGTATCACCTTTAAAGTCAGTCCCATTCCCCCAGGTAATCTTTATGCAGACTTCATGAGTTTTATCCTGGTGGTGCCATCACCCTTTTGACCCAATGGCACACAAAATACCTTCTATGCTGACTTTAAATGTCATAAATTGATTTGTATTTTTCAAAATAATTCAGTTTAACTCTACATTGATGCTCAGTGTGTGGCAAGCTGGTAATTATTACAAAACCAACCTCAGATGTATTCCTTGCTTGCCTCTTGTTGCAGGTGTTCCTCTTGATCCAAAATGAGAAACTGAAAAATGACTACGTCTACCTCAGTTGGTTAGCTCGCTGCCGTGAGTCTTCTTTCAAACATTTACAACAGGAGCCCTCTTTTCTGTCTTACTGCATGATCTGTTTGGAAACTATATGAAGTGTTTTCTAATCTTTGTATTGTGTTCTGCACAGTAAGTTAACACTGAGGGTGAGACTTGTTAATGCTTCCAGTAAGCGTTGCTGTCTTGTTCACATTCTCACGGGCACAGGCTCCCCTCCTAACTGCACGCTCAGCTGTGGAGTGATCTGGCTCAGCCGATCTTTCGAGGGGTACAGCACCCCATGATCCAGTCACCTCCCCGAGTCACCTCTGAGCACACGAGACTCTGGGGGATGTCTAGATCCAAGTGTAGCAGTTGTCATGTCAGTGTGTTATGTAGGTTTACTCTATGATGAGTTTCATTATTCAACAGTGACCTTCACGGACAGGCCCGAAAGACACCACGTCCTTTCAGTTTTGCTCAGCTTTTGGGCTTGCAGCGCACACTTGCTGTTTTTGCAGTGATGCTACGTCACTGATTTAGCTTTTTTATCTCATGCCTGACACATGAAAAAATGTCTAAAATGTAATTTTTGTGTACATTCTAACCCATAATCTCTCTATCTGTCTTCCTATCATTGGATTTTCTCGCTCCTTGTTTTCACTCAGATTTAAATTTTTCACTTTTTTTTGTTACTGTTTAGTTTTTCTAAAACAAGGGCTCCCTACATAGTTCAGACTGGGCTTGACCTCACTACTCACTGTGTAACCCAGTTGGCCTCAAACTCATGGCAATCCTCATGCCCAGGCCCCTAGAGTGCTGGCATTACAGGTATATGTCACCATGCCTGGCTTTTCAGCAAGTTTGATGTAGTCACAGAATAATTTTAAAAATTATTTATTTTATATGAGGCTGAAATTATGAGTACAATTGAATAATAATAGTTGTTCTCTTTTAAGCAGTCTGGCAAGGTGGAAAACTTCTAGAAGCCAACCCCATCTAAAAAGACACAATTAAGTGAATCTAACTATTTTAGGCAGGGTAGAATTCTGGTAGGGAGCCAGCTGAGTGTCAACACTCCCAGCTTTCCACATAGGAGGTGCTTTATATATTTGGGCTATAGATTCATTCCTAGAATGATAAGGTGCAGAAGCTATTTCCTAATGACACTTTAAAGCACTATTTCTTGCTGGGGATTTAGCTAAGCAGCTTAAGCGCATGCCTGGCAAGCATGAGGTTGTGAGTTCAATCCCTGGTACCAAAAAAAATTGTTTCTTTTTATAGATATCATGAATAAGAAACCAAGACTAGCCTGGGAACTTTATCTGAAGATGGAAACCTCTGGCGAATCCTTTAGTCTCTTACAGCTCATTGCTAATGACTGTTACAAGGTGAGTTTAGTGGAAGTTAGACTGGAGCTCAGCAGCACAGTGAAGCACTGGCTAAATACCATATCACAGAAGAGTGTCCTAGAGGCTAGGTGGCTTTCACTGAGATTTACATAGTGATATCAGAAATGTCATCCTCAGAGATAGATGGTATTTCAGTTTCATTTGTACGTGAAATAATGACATAAAGAAAAGGTCTCAGATTTCTAAAGGATTGAATTTTTAGGTACTATCCAGGTAGAGGTATTCCTTCGTTGGTTGGAAATTTGGTTCTGCAGCTCAAGAAAGATCTCCCTTGGCATCTAGACACAAAAATTGGAAATCACTGCCAACATTTAAGTAACAACTGAAGCCCTCAGAAACAATGAGATTTACTAAATTAAGATGCATGATAATGGGCCGGGGATAAAGCTCAGCAGCACAGCACCTGCCTGGCAAGCACAAGGCTACCAGTTCAATCCCTGATACCAAAAAAACAAAAGTAAAAATAAAGACGTACAGTGAGAAGAGTACAAGCCAAACTTTGTGGAATACTAAGGTATAAATGCCAGACAGAAAAGACAGAGGAACCAGAAAAAGAGAATTAAAAGCAGTCCTATGGCCAGGTGTGATGGTGTATACCTGTAATCCTAACACTCAGGAGGGCAGAAGGATGGCCATGAGTTCGAGGCCAGCCTGGGCTACATAGCAAAACCCTGTCTCAAAAACCAAAGTAGCCAAATAGTCAAGTTTATCAAAGCACTAGTGTGCAACATGTGTGCATTGTGTGTGTGTGAGTGCATGGGGTAAAGGAAGAACAATGCAAGGAGGCGGTAGACTGGAAAGGACAGGGATAGTTTTGAAACTCATCATATAAATTAAAAGTTTTTTTAAAAAGTCTCAAATTCTGGAAATTCCTATTTTGGGATTTTCATCCTGTCAAAAAGACAGGGAAACGTAGAATAACAAAAGGCCAGTGTTAAGTGGTCAGCAAGGGCTCATTTCGAAGTGAATCAGGACCAAAAAGAGAAGCAAATCACCATCAAAGACACCTTGATAATGACAGTTTAGCATAAGTCGGTGGCTGGCGGTGCTGTTAAGTGAAGTCGGGGAGGCAGAGGCAGAGAAAACTTGCAAAAACAGACAGTGGTCTGCATTTTCAATACATGAAATCAGAAGTGTCCGTGGGGTGCCCAGGAGGGATGATATAAGTAAGGCTCTGGGGTGAGCCCAGGGCCGAGTGTTTCTTGTGACAGGTCAGAATGAAGGTATAGGGTCGGGGATATAGCTCAGCAGCACAGCCCCTGCCTGCAAATTTGAGGTCCTGAGTTCCATGGCCAGTAAAAAATAAAATAATGAAGGTACAGTTGTAGAAGTCAGTAGAGGTGGCAGAGAGAAAGATTCTCTTGAGTGGGGTGAGAAACCATATGAAGCAGCAATACGTAAGGGTTAGAAATAGAATAAATGGGGGCTGGGGATTTAGTTCAGCGGCATAAGCACCTGCCTTGCAAGCAGGCAGTCATGAGTTCGATCCCCGGTACCGATAAAAAGGAAAAAGACAAAAAGAAAGAAAGAAATAGAATAAATGAAAGAGGAAGAGGAAGAACTGAGAGGAAAGAAAAGGATCAGGAACACCTGTAGTTCCAACACTTGGGAGACTGAGGCAAAACTGCTTGAGCCAGGAAATTGGAAACCAGCCCAGGAAGCATAGTGAGACCCTGTCTCGAAAGTAAAAAAAATTTTTAAAATCAGGAAAAGAAAAAAATGCTCTTAATCTTTTTCTTGTCCCTATTTATCAAAAACCAAGGCTGCCTGGCGTGGTGGTACACACCTGTAATCCCAGCACTTGGGAGGCTGAGGCAGGAGGATCACGTAAATTCAAGTTCAGCCTGGGCTACCCAGTTAGTTCTAGGCCAGCCTGGACTACACAATGAGATACAGCTTAAAAAAAAAAAAAAAGGGTGAAGGGAGCTGGGGATTTAGCTCAGTGGCATAAGCACCTGCCTCGCAAGCATGCAGTTGTAAATTCAATCCCTGCCCCGCCCCCAAAAAAATAGCCCAGGAAAGGGAAAGGCAGATTCTTCACCTAGAAGAACTTGGAAGACAGTGGCAAATAGAGAAAAAAGTTCAATCAGAAAGCAGATGCAGGGGCTGGGGCTCAGCGGCATAAGTGCCTGCCTTGCAAGCAGGCAGTTGTGAGTTCCATCCCTGGTACCGATAAAAAGGAAAAAGACAAAAAAAAAGAAAAAAAGAAAGAAAGCAGATGCAGCCAGTGAAATGCAGACTACAGCCTTAAAAATGTTGTTTTTCAAGACGAGAAGAAAAGTGTGTTACTAACCTAAAAGAGACGCCAGCATTTGAATGAGTGTGGGTGGAAACTTCATTGTCTTTTAGAACCATGGCTAAAAGTATTTATAGGCTGAGGAAAGGGAGCATTGAACAGTTACAGAAAAGATTTGAAAGAAGGTGGTATTTTTGATGGAGGAAAGCAGTAGAAGAGATGAGGAAGGGGTGGGGTTAAGATGAAAGGAAGATAACCACTTTGAAAGACAGCTTCATACTCCACAGTCTAGAAGCCCACAGGTCCCACAAGCAGCTGGTTTGGTGATTCCTTAGGAGTTATACAGACATTTGCTTACCATACAACCTAGTGACTACACTTCTGCACATTTATCTCAAGAGAAATGGAAACCTGTATCTATGCAAATATGGAAATATTAATAGCATGAATTTTAATACACTAATATTATTATCAGCTCTGTAACAGCCTAAAAGTGAAAGCAATTAGAGTCTTTCAATGTAAAGTGAAATTTGGATAAGACTGATTACAGGACAGAAATAGCAAGGAAAGCTTATGTATAGGTGAAGGTTAGAGAAGTCAAAGCCCAGCTTTCTTATCCTCCCTCTGCCGGAGCTGTGCAGTCACATCCTTCTCCAGCTGCACATTGTAGGGTTCTGTGCAAGATGGTACTCATTCAGGAAAAACAGAGACAACAAATAGGATTAGTCTTCACATATAAATCACTGCCTCAAATGTAAATGGCCTAAACACTCAATTGAAAGATACTGAGATTGGGCCTGGTGGTACATGCCTGTAATCCTAGTATTCTAGGAGGCTAAGGCAGTTGGATCACAAATTTGAGCTCAACCCAGGCAACTTCATCACTTAATAAGAGCCTATCTCTCAAAATAAAAGATGTGTTGGGGATGTAACCAAGTGTGAAGGCCCTGTGTTAAATCTCTAGTACCACCACCAAAGAAAAGACAGAATAGATTTTAAAAAAAAGAGGAAGAAGAAGAAAAAACAAACTACATGCTTTCTGTGAGAAATTCACTTTAAATATTAAGAGGTATGATCAAGATGTAATATGTACATGTACCAGTTCTCCAAGATGAATGTAACTATTAGATACAGCAGACATATACTATACCAATAAAAAATTTACAAAACAAATGTAACGATATACGTCAGTCAAAAATAAAAGGATGGGAAAACTATGCCATAAAATGGGTCAGCAGTTTCCTTAACAAATATATACTGTGTTTCCATCCAGAGAAATGGAAACCTGTGTCCACACACCCAAAGGTCAACTGCAGCTTTATTTGTGATAACCTCAAACTAGGGTGAAAATTTCCCGATAAATGAATAGTTAAACAAACTTGAAAATACTGTTGGTGATAAAAAGAAGCTGAGGTGACTAGTCCAGTTCTGTCTCCTGACATTTGATGCTGATTAACTTTTAAGCCTCCCTCTCCCCCTTCCTGTGGGCCCCACATCTGTCAAATGATAAGAAAGCCTGAATGCTGCTGTCTTGGATCAAAGCACCCAAGCCCCACCTGGCCGCTAGCCACAGCACAGTGAAGCAGACCAGGCTACCCCTGGGTTCTCAGGCAGTGCTGGATATGCTTGGGAGGCCAGCTCAGCTTTCTAGGTACTTCCATTACAGATCTAAGCAAATCTCCCTTACAGCTTGGGGTGTATGTGGCATCATCAGTCTCAACATCCAAAACAAAGTGGGTGGAGGTCCTTGCTCTTTTATAGAGTGACCTTAACCAGAACAAACTGTTGATACAGTAACTTGGGTTAAGGAGGGCTTTATGCTGAGTAAAAAATCCTATTTTGCCAGGCATGGTGCCATGGGAATCCCAGCAACTCAGGAAGCTAAGGTAGGAGGTCTCCAAGTTCAAAGCCACCCTGGGCTCCTTGGAGAAATCCTATCTCAAAAGAGGTAAGGGCTGGGATATGGATCAGTTGCAGAGCACCCCTGGGTTTAAATCTCCAGTGCCAGCCCTAAAAGCCAGTCTCAGAGGGTCCCATGCTGTTTGATTTCCTATATATGAAATTTGTGACAAAATGATAGAGATGGAGAACAAATGGTTACTAGAGAGATGGGGTAGTGGGTAGGGGAGGGTGGACATGTGACTATATGGTGGCAACAAGGGAAACTATTGTAGTGATGAAATAGTTCTGTGCCTTGGCAGTGGTTGTGCTTAAATGAATCATGATGAAACAACAGGTTGTCAACACACAGTAAAAATGTCAGTCTTCCGGTTTTTATTGTGATATAGCTTGTAAATCAACTCACCAACCAATTAGAGCAATATACATGCATGTTACAGATATAACATTGGTTCAGACACTGCTTGCCACCTCTTTCCTCTATGCTGAGGTCTCTCTTCGCTCTCACCGTGGGATTCAGTTTTTGCTCCAGATTCTTGCTGGGTCCTGAGGACCTACTTCCCTTCTTCTCTTCCTCATGCTGTTATCTATATTCCATTGTCTGCACACCAAATCTCATGCACCATTTTATACATGTGTTCTTTTACAATAAAACAAAAACTTTAGGAGAACTTACGTAGAAAGATTGACTGAAAGAATAAAAATACTTATGAGATAGACAAAAAGAAGGGAAGGAGAGATAAAGTATTAAGTGAACTGAAGGGAAGAAAGTTGTGTTTTCCCAGTGAGGTACAGAATAAAGCTAAGCTAAGAATATGAGTGGTCTTAAGGAAAGTGTCAGATATTGAGAAAAACAGTTAACAGGAATCTCAGAGAAGCAACCCAACCTCACTGAGTGGAGAGCATTACCCAACAACTTAGAGGCAAAGTCAAATCAGTGAACACTGCATTTTTGATTGCCAGTCAAGAAAACTCATCTAAGCAAAATGTAATGGTCTTAGCACATTCTATGAAGCCAAGAAAACTATTGTAGTAGTATATCTGGGAAAGACACATGTTAAAAAGAAACGTCTAAGAGATTTAATGTAGACCCACCTAGGCATTCTAAGAATTTAAGGATAAGCTCAGAGAAAAAAGCCATACTTCTGAGGTGAACATGACCAGATTATCACAAGACAAATGATAGCTGTCATCTAAAGGGAGTATGTTGAGATTTGAAAAATTGCTAATTAAATTACAATCAGAATTTGGTTTGTCCTCAAGTTTAGAATATAATTAGAAGAAATAACAAATGGATTGCTAATGCAAGGTAGGGAAAAGTGTTATACTGCTGAAAACTGAGTGAAGGTTATCTGCTTTAAACTGAACCTGTGTACTCAGACTGTAATATTCTTGTCTTAGGAATTGAAATTTATAACATTTGCTAACTGAAGCTGTCATTGCCCATGTACTTTCTTCTTCCGGTTGTTTTATGTTTAATTTTATTCTGTCAAATATTCTGACAAGCAGTGCCATCACAACACTTTCTTTTATTCAGATGGGCCAGTTTTACTATTCAGCCAAAGCTTTTGATGTCCTGGAGAGGCTGGACCCCAACCCAGAATACTGGGAAGGCAAAAGGGGTGCATGTGTGGGCATTTTCCAGATGATCCTAGCTGGGCGAGAACCCAAGTAAGTACACACGGGGGACATGATTCATGGGTTGGTGTGTGCAGGAAAATCTTCCTAAAGCTCAAAATTATAATGCTGTTTTAGAATGATGAAACAAATGTGAAGTTGTTCAGTTTTTCTATTGGATCATTTTTCTACAGAAAGAGTCTATTTTTGGAGAGTCACATCATTTTAAATCATGCATACTGGAGACCTGTGTGTTCCACGGCTCTCAAACCTAAAGGCAAGATGTAGATTTGTTTCTAAATGAGTAGCCATCTCCATAAACATCTTGACCATTCCCCTCTTCTTACCTCAAAGAATAGGACTGGAGGGATGTGGCTAATAGTTGTTTTTCTTTTGCCTTATATCCTAGGAATCTTATATCTTACATCCTAAAATAATAGATTACATGAAATTAATTGGCTTACAACACTATCTCAATCAAAATTAAAACACTTAAAACCAAATTTGGTGTTCTAAAAGCTTCATGGACTGTTTCTGTCACTGGTGTATGAATAGGAAATGTAATGATTTTATGAGCAAGTAATCTGTGAAAAATTACTTCCTGTCTTAAATCTATTTCCAATCCTAAATAAAGTTTAAAAGTATTTGATCAAGTGAAAGATACTGGTTTGGGTTAAAGAGAAGTAGAGAAACGAGAAGACCGATGGGCACAGATACGAAAGCAGTCGCCCTTCTTCAGTCTGGTGAAGGGTTAGGGACGTCAATGCGTAGCCGGCTGATGTCAGTCCATCACTCTCCTCTCTTCTGTACTTATTAATGTGTTCAGGCCTTTCTCCAGCAAATTTCTTGAGCAAATCACCCATTCGTCTGACTTTGTAAAACTTTACAAACATGGTAGTAATAATGCCCAATTTAAAGTGATTACCACTCTAAACAAAAAGGAAATCTAAGACTCAGCCAAATTAAGTGACTTCTTAGCAGTGAAACTAGAATTTGATTTCAGCTCCCTGTCCTTAACTCCTGGGTATATGCTTTCTATCCTGTCATGCAAAATAAGTGTAGACTTACACTTATTGGGAATATTTAGGTCACCTCAGGAGAACACATAGATTAATAATAGTACTACAGAGGTAATACACATAAGCAAGGAAAATTTGGGTCAGTAAGGAGGACTTCACAGAATTTCCGTTTTACTGTGCCACTGTAGGGGTAGAGAGCTATCCTGGTTCATGAATACACAGTGGAGAAGTCTTAGCAGATACCCCAATAAGAAGCACAGAGTGAAGTTACAAGTTTATTGTGTTGATTTTCATTTCTGTATTGAAACACTTTGTCCTTTCAAATCTTTCCCTCAGAGAGACCCTCCGAGAAGTGCTACATTTGCTGAGAAGCACAGGTAACACCCAGGTAGAATACATCATCCGAATCATGAAGAAATGGGCTAAAGAAAACAGGGTGCCTGTCTAAAAGAGCTCCAGAAACGCCACCCTGAGAACCAGCTTCTCTGCGGATGTCAAATTGGAAGTTGCTTTTCTCAAGCTCAAAGAAGATGCCGGGATTCTATTCATCTGACAGTCAGGCCTGGAGATGGGGACTGGCCTGTGTAGACCCAATCCTGCCTGAACAAAGCCCTGCAGTCTGTGCTGCAGCCCCAGTGACATCCCCGAGCAATAAGACTTCAGACTTCTTGGTGCCTTTATTCCAGAAATCCTGGAGTATTTGTACATGATTTACTGACTTTACAGAGAACAGCATAATCCTTTTTCTTTTCACAATAGCATTGTGTGACATGTTCTTCCAGTGGCGATATCAATGTTTTTGATGCTTAAGAATCATCGTCATCCTGCTGCCTTACTTTCAGCTATGTCTGTACGTTTTCCCTTTTTAGTGGGGATTCCATAAAAGATGTTACAAAGTATCTCTGGGTCTTGAGAGAACAGAGATTTTAACCAGCCATGGGCCTCTGAGAACAGGAGGAAGCTCCTATATGGACTGCAGTCATTAATACATAACAGGATCATTATTCCTTGTTCTGTTATTAAACTGTTGACCATAACATGGTACAGTATAGCAAGATGAGGACTGCAGATCTTTAAAAGTGAGGGCTGTGGAGGTAGCTCAGTGATAGCACGTTTGCCTAGCATGCACGAGGCCCTGGGTTCAATCCCCAGGGTAGGAAAAAAACTGAGCGCTGTGCCTCAGGAGGTGTTCAGGCTCTTTCCTTACATTACAGATAACAAAGCAGGTTAGAGTTTTTCTTAATGTACGTGCTTAAACATCAGTTTTGAAAGCAGGCTACAAAGAAAGTGAAGTGGCAGAGCCAGAAAGACCCTCAGGGCACTGACGTTAGAAGGGTTTCCTTGAGCACCACATTTGTTCGCTACCCCCCCACCCCCCACCCCCGGCATTTCACTGTGCTGGGAGAGTTATATGGAAAGGGGACGGGAACACAGCAGTGTTGTACCAGGAGAGGAGACCAGGCACTGGACATAGCCTTTACCTCTGGACAGTCGCAAGGAATTGGCTCAGCTCAGCTCAGGACAATGACCAGTTTTCCTAGCTTCTGTTAGACACAAATCTAATTGAGTCAGAGCACAAATCAAATTAAACTGGGCTGAATAACTGAGTTCTAGGAAACAGCCACGTCATTTTTCATATTCCAAAGCTTCTCTCTCCTTATGCCGCAGCTACAGTTTTAGTCATTACTGGTTCTCAGCATCGAAGGTATTAGGTGGGTCAGATCTAGACAGAAGCTGCTATCATTGCTTGACTCTTTCTGGCTTAAAATATTTGGAGGCACAGAAGTGGAAGAGACAGACTGACACTCCTCAGTAACTTTTGGCCATTAAATTTGCCTTCCAGTGAATTACTGTTAATTTCAAGCTTTCTGAATTTGAAAAGCTTTTCCAGTGATGGTGATTTACTTCTAAATGAGTTTTCATTGAATTGAATGCTCAAGATTATCTCAGACATTTTGCGGTCTTGGGGGAAATGCCCACCGATTCCAAACAGCAGGTTTAGAATAATTTTTAAAAAATTTTTAAGCTATGGGTTTGAGCCAGAAGCTCAAAGACCAGCGTGAAAGGAAGTAGCATCCAATTGCATTAAGGATAACTACTTCTAGGGCGTCTTGGCTGCAGCTCAGCCAAGCCATTGGTGCAGGCTGCTCTCCTTGTGGGATGTAGGAGGGGAAAAGACCCAGGCTTAGGAACACAGTGTAATGTGTACAGTACAGAGCACCAATGCACTATTTATGGTCCATAGCATATATTACTTACCAATGGGAAAAAAATCTTTTACAATTATTTTTGTATCTCAGAAGAATGTATATTAAAATTAAAGTTTTTGATTTGGTTCTTCTCAGGTTCTGTTGCATGCAGTGAGTGTGGGGCTTGAGTATATCATGTACCCTCTCTCTCCTTTCTTTCCTGACCCTCCAAGAAGGTAGAAAAATACAATGTTGACCCAACACATTACTGTTTGTAATAGAAGAGAATACATATTCCCTAAGAAACCCTTTCTATCAAGAGCCTTGTGGTCCTGCTGACTCATAGCAGGGTTGGCACACTGCCGAATTATTCTCTACTCAGAAACTGTATGATCAGTGCATAATACAATTGTCATGCATAGAAAGCTCTCAAATACTTGACTAATTAAATGTGTAATTATGGTAGAACAAAGAACCTGTGAGCTCTGACCTCACATACTATGGCTCCCATCTAATGGTTGTTTTATTGTAGTCTAAGCATATGCAGGCTGCCAGGGATGCTAAGATAAATAAAGCCCTGGCCCTAAAGGAAGTCAGTCTAACAGAGCCACTAAACACAGATGGTGTCAGTATCATCAACAGGAGCAAAGTGTCAAGGGAGAGAAGAAGGCCGCCAGATGTCTATATCCATGTGAGTGGGACAGCTCCAGCCTGGGTTTACAAAAGGAATGGAACACATCCCACAGCTCAGTGGCAGCCAAGATGCACCAGCTCTGCCACAGGACAGAGAGCCAATCACATAGAAGCCAAAGGAATGCCGTCCTCCTTGGGTGCTAGGGGCACTTGCAAGGCTGCAGGCCAGTGGGCTTATGTCATAGTAATTAGTTCTGCTTTTCCGAGAGAGAAGTGAGCTAGTAATTTACTACTTCCTAGTTCTAAATTCAGGATTCTCAATGTGACTTACACAAAAAGACCTTTGTTTTTATCTTCGTCCTTTACGGAAACTTATAGATGCTAAAATGATGTAGTAATCATCCTTATCTGGTTTATTTCACTTAAGATGGTTCCTTCAATATGTTCCCTCATGTCACAAGTGGCAGGATATTTTTCTTTGTATTGATGAATATTATTCTATTGGGTGCATCCATATGTTCTATGCATAGCTTACAATTTATTTGCTCATCTATGCATGGACATTTAAGTTATTTCCATGTCTTGGTTATTGTGAATTATGCTGCCATGAACATCAGTGCAAGTCAGGTTTGATGTGCGTGCCTGTAATCCCAGCACTTGGGAGGCTGAGGCAGGAAGATTGTTGTGAGTTTGAGACCAGTCTGGGATACAAAGTGAGCTCAAAGCCAGCCTGATCTGTGTAGCAACACCCTGTCTCAAAAAGACAAAAAAAAGTACTTCTGGAAAGATGCAAAAGCAGTAAGCAGCCTCTCTGAGAGTCACTATACAGATGCTGGAATATAGCATCATATGGAAGACAAGAAGGAAAGAAGTGGGTCCCCTGGACCCAGGAAAAATCTGAAGTGTGAATTGAAGCCCACAGAGAGAGTGAAAAGAAAAATTTCAAGGAGCCGGGCATAGTGGTACACTCCTGTAATCTGAGCCTTTGGGAGGCTGAGGCAGGAGAATCATTTGCAGTTTGAACAAAACCAGCCTGGACTACAAAGTAAGCCCAGGCCAGCCTGAACTGCATAGGGAAACCCTGTCTCAAAAAGACAAAAAATGCCAGGGATTTAGCTCGGTAGTGTAGGTACCTACCTGGCAAGCACAAGGTTGCGAGTTCAATCCCCAATACCAAAAAAAAAAGAAAAAAGAGAAATTTCAAGGAAGAAGAAGACAGTAGCTGGCAGCACCTTGACCCTAAGATTAGACTCTGCTTTGAAAGGAGCTGTTCGAACCTGAAGGGCCCACGGTCACGGCAACAGTGATGGCTGGTGACACCACACCAGAGGTGTGCAGAGAGACATGGCAGTGGAGGGTGGGAAGGGGAACTGGAGGACTGCACTGGCTGGCAGTGAGTGCTGAGGACTCAGTCCTGCTGCAGGCCAGCTGAGCTCAGAACCCAAAACTGCTCCCAGCGTCCTCTCGCATCTCCCAGCTGGGTGCAGATCTGGAGAAATTGCTTGGACTGCAGCAATGAGTCTGGTCTTGGGGCAGACCCTTGAGATTACCCACTACCCCACCATAAAGCAACTGCTGACTTCCGGGCATAGACTGGCTCAGGACTCTGTCTCCACAGTTTGTCCACTAGTAAAATTCTCCTCCAGAGAGAATTGGGAAAGTGGACTGTTTCTTTTTCTTTTGTTTTCTTTGCTTTCTCTTTTTTCATGGTTTTTATGAATGTGAAAGTGGTTCCAAGCCTCTTGGTAGGTGTGATTCTGTTCCATGCTTTATCTCTCCCACCTTTTTTCCTTCAGTCTTTTGCAGCAGTTTCCTCAAGTTGGTGTGATCCCTCTTGGTCCTCCAGCCTTCTAATCCTTTCCTCTTCTTCCACTACTATATTTTCTCCTTAATCCATTTTAAATTTTAATCCTCAAGGGCAAAATTGACACATTATGGACTGGTTTGTTTTACATTTTATATAATCATAAATTTGCAAATCAAAGGTTAGCTCAGTTTGTGTTCTCCAGGCTGTGTTTGACGCTATTGGCACCACTACAACGGAAAACAGACATAATTGTTCTAAACAGCTGTTGGCCCTGATAATCATAACTGAGATTAACTAAGGGTCACCCAAAAATACCATGGCATAGTGCCACAGAACCTGAGACTAGCTTAAACAAGTAACAACTCATCTCCCAACAAAATGAAGAGGTAAGATCTTCAAACAGACTCAAACCCCAAAAGTCAGCTACACCTGGAAGATACCTCAGAGACGTCATCATCACCTAAAGGCCCTAAGTACTCACAGCAAAGCAACCCATCATAGGCTATTTACAAGTATCACCACAGGAATTAAACTAAAAAAAGAGAAAATAAAATGATAAGATATATAAGCAAAATGCATCCTCAGACATCCAGTTTGCCAAAGGCAAATCCATAGGGTAGTGAGATGAGAATCTGAAAGCTTCCCGCACCATGTTTCTCTGAAATGTAACAACAAAGCAATTGAATGAGGCTCTAGAAAAATGAAATCAGAAATAATCTCTCAGGTAACTACAGAGATTACCAAAATACATGCCACGCTTAGTGATGTTACAGCAGACACAGACAAAAAAATAGATGAGCTTAAGCAAATTACATAAACTCAGAATACAAAACAAATGGAATCCATAAAGCAGATACCCAGGAGAATAAAAACTCCATTGAAAGTTTTTTAAAAAAATCTTTTTGAGACAGGATCTCGCCATGCAGTTGAGGCTGGTCTCGGACATGCAAGAAGTTTGCCTCACTTCCCAAGTGCTGGGATTAGAGGAGTTTACCACCACAGCCAGCTCACTGAAAGCATATAAAGCACATTAGGCCAATGTGAGGACAGGATCTCAGATATTGAAGGCTTGCAATTACTGACCAGAAAAACAAAGATTTCTCAAAAATAGACAGGGATCATGAGAAAATCCAGCAGCTACTAGATAAGACAAAGAAAAATAATTTAAGATTAATTGGAGTCAATGAACAAGAAGGAGATACCACACATGACATTAAAAACATGTTCACAGGGGCTGGGGATTTAGCTCAGCAGCATAAGCGCCTGCCTTGCAAGCAGGCAGTCGTGAGTTCGATCCCCCCGGTACTGATAAAAACGAAAAAGACACACACACAAAAAAAACCATGTTCACAGACATTGTTACAGAAAACTTTCCTGGTAGAGAAAAAGAATTTGACACACAAGTAAATGAGGCATATAAAACTCTAATTAGCAATTATCAAAAGAAAAAAAGCTATAGCCAGGCATATCATAGGCAACATTCCACAAATTCAACACAAGAATAGAATCCTAAAAGCTGTTAGAGAAAAGAAATGTTACCTATAAAGGAAAGCCCACCAGAATCACAGCTGATTTCTCAGCTCAAACTCTCAAGTCAAGGAGAGCTTGCAGTGCACCACTCGAAGTCCTAAAAAAATACAATTTTCAACCCAGATTGATGTGCCCTACAAACTTACCTTTCGAAATTGATGGGAAAAATAAGATACTTCCTGACAATGAACATCTGAGGAAATTTATGACCACCAAACTAGCACTCCAAAATGTTGTGAAGGACATTCTAGAAAGAGATATAAGGACTACAGCTCCATGAACCCCAATAGAAGGAATCCACCAGGAAAAGCAAACAATTAGAGGGAAGGGGAAAAAAAGAGGGAGAGCCAACAACAGAAAAATAACATGACAAGGACAAGTCAATACATATCAGTTTTAACCATCAATGTCTCTTTAACCATCAATGGTCTCAATTAACTAGTCAAAAGACACAGACTGGCAGGATGGGTCAAGAAGCAAGATCTAACAAGATGCTGCACACAAGAAACACATTTTATTAAAAAAGATCCATAGACTGCAAGTCAAAGGATAGAAAACAATACTCCACACAACTGAAGCCAGAAAAATGCGGGGCCACCTATTCTATTTGCAGACAAAGTGAATATCAAACCAAGGCTGATTAAGAGAGATAAAGAAAGAAAGTCACTACAGCCTTGTAAAGGGAACAATCCAAGAGCAAGAGATAACAATCATAAATATATAGGCAACAAATATCAGTGCACCCAGCTATACAAAATGATTACTAATGGACATAAAAAATCAAGCCCTAACACAATTGTATTGGGAGACCTCAGTGCCCCACTGTCACAAAAAGACAGATCAACTAGACAAAAAAAAAATCAATAATGAAACAGAACTAAATTAAACTTTTGAGCAAACGGACTTAGTAGATGTCTAGAGAATGTCCCACCACACAATCAGAATACACATTCTTCTCAGCTGGATTTGGGACATTCTCCAAAATAGATCATATACTGGCTCATAGAATATGCTTACATAAATGCCAAGGAACTGAAACTATTCCATGCATACTCTCAGATCACAGTGCAATGAAATTGGAAATCCATGCCTAAGGAAACCACAAGAACTTCATAAACACATGGAAATTTAATAGCACTCTACTGAACAACCATTTCACAGATGAAATTGC